ATGAAGGATACTATTCACGTCGGCATTTTGACACCAAACACGGAGCTAAATTTAGCCTCCAAGAAAAACTAATTGTCCAAGAATTAAAAGGCAGAGTGCAATCACAGCAGAATATATTTACAGAAGCTACAGCCCAGTGCATGCTAAAGGTATGTGAGCAGGTGTGCTCCGACCAGATACAGACTTTTACAAATGTCAGTTTGTGAAGAAACACCATCGCAGACCGAGTTCAGGAACTAGCAGCAATCTAACAACACAGCTAGCTCAGAGACGAGCAGGCACTCGTCTTCTTCATTATCTGTTGATGAAAGCACAGACAACACGGACACAGAGCATCCATCCATGTTTATAAGACCTGATCTCTGTGAGGAGCTCTTGGATGTAGCTGCCATGCACGGGACGACAACAGGGACATTAGTGATGCAGAGAGGTGACAACAATAGCTTTGAACAAAGTTAATGTCATAACTTGTGTTTGATGATATTTGTCTTTGTTATTTTCTCTAAAAGTTTGATCTTTGATAGAGTAATGTGGGTTTCTTAACCCTAAATTAAAAGGATTTATGTTATAATAACAGAAATGTGCTTACATATATTTTTACATTTATATAACTGCATGTACAATATCTTTACACTTGAATAAACAATAATCAAATGCAGAGACAGTTATTTAACAATATGTTAGGAGTAGTTGTAGTTATACAGTCTTAGAGTTATAAGACTGATGTGGGCCAGAGTGAAGATGAGTTCGACACCCCTGCTCTAGAGCTTCACTGGAAAGATACTTTACGCACAATTTAGGTGTATTTTCCCTTTAACTCACGAGATGCAGGTAGCATGTTTTATACTTAATGTGAATATAATTCGTTTAATCTCATTTCCATTACGCAATATGTATACTCAGTAGGCATCTTATTCTGAAAACCGGATGTTCGTCTGAAGAAACCGGATGTTATCTCACGTTAATCTTTCCGCTAACTTTGCAAAGTCCTTCGCTCGCTCCTGATCTGTGCCGTTTGAATGCGTTTACCGTGAATTCCAGCATATAGGTGCACTAACATGTAAGAGAACCAACCTGCTCTGTGTAACCGCGGCTGAGGGTTGAACACAGCGTCCAGCAGTCTCCGTTGTCGCTCGGTCTGCTCTTTTAAAGCAGAAAGTTCCTCCTCGTACTCCGCTGTCGTTCTTTCAAACACACCAAATATCTCTTCAGCAGCCGCAGTTAGTCGCTGGTTGACTAAACATCTCAGTATTTGGACTTTAGACATTTTCACTAAACCACAGAAACTTCTCCTCCAGTCAAACGGCAATAGTGATGTGACCTTTCGTGAAACGCAATGGATCCCGTGTCACACTTTGTGTACTTCGGACTTTATTGCGCGTTTTTGTTGCAAACTATTCTATGTACCCCAGCTTCATCTGTGCCCGTGAAACCGTGTTTTCTAAAGCAGGCGAGAAAACAAAGAAACCGCCTGAAGCCCAGCACTGTGAAAAGTTGTTATTTTTAAACCGACGAGAATAAAATGCCGTGGCTCAACAGGTAGAGAGGGTTGTCCGGTAGCCGATAGGTCGGCGGTACGATTCTTGATTGCAACATGTTGCATGTCTTCCTGCTGTTTATATACTTCTTGGTGAAACTTAATCTTGACAACCACGTTCTCGCTGACGTATATACATATATACATATATATACATACATATACATATATACATATATATACATATATACATATATATATGTAATCTAACATGGCTGCAGACGAGTTGACTCTGCACGTTGAAGCTTTGTCTAAAAGCCGAGTGGACAAAAGAGACCGGCTCTTGTCTGGTTCTTTTTTTGATCTGTTGTACATATAAATGGACCATGTTAATACTTCTTCATCAGGCACATTCTTCCTGTAGCTACTTCTACACTATTTTTATATAAGTCTATTTGAGTAAATTTACTTTAAATACTTTTGCTAATGACTATTTTTACTGAATAACGTTTGTATTACAGTATGGAGTATTATTGTAATGTTGTGCATGCTAAAAAATAAAAACAGATCATCTTTGCTGACTCATAGTGATAATTTCTCTGCCGTTATGGAAAACATTCTGGTTTCAGATGACGTGCAACAAACTTTACCAGACTGTATCATCAATAAGGTGACATAATAATACTATATAAATCATAATACTGAGAGGCTTATTGTGTGAATGATGCTGCCGAAAGACTGATTATTGACATGGAAACCAGTTTGCACAAAGTTGTTTTCCAGAAGCACATGAATTGATTGAATTTAATCAGATATCAACAGGTGAAATACGCAAGAGGTCATGTTGCCTGATTCACCTCAAAGTGTACAACAGAATGTTAATATTCATATTTACACAAGTTTATGGACTAAACCCAGAGTACACACTGATGCTGCAGCGCCATCTGGTGGTAGAGTAGACTCATACAAGAAAAACATGTATAACCTTTATACAGGAAGGTGAGAAAAGATGAATAAATAAATTAAACAGAGGAGCCAACTATGTTTCCACCCCAAAATATACTAATAATTCAGTAAAATTGTTATACTTTATCATTTAGGAGTAAATTTCACCTGTTTTCATCATTTTGTGTCACTGGAAAAAAAGTGTTTTACAACATATGAGTCCTAAAAGATGAGAAACAACCTCAGCTGCACCTAAAGAAGTCAAATCTAGCAGGTGGTAAAAAAAAAAAAAAAAAAGATGTATGAACTCATTTGGAGACTTTATTAAGAGAAACTTCCTGCATAAACAACATTAAACCACATCAAACAGTGATGCTGCTGCTTCTCAAAGCGTCATCATCTCCGGTCCAGCTTCAGTCCTGAGGACCTGCAGGTTTCTTGATCCTCCGAACTACGACCTTGGTTCTCCTTCCTTGAGGTCGACCTGCAGGCTCCGCCTCTCCCGGGGGTCGGGGTTCCCCTCGGGGCGGTGCGGGGTTCTTTCCAGATCGCACACCGTCCATGAAGCCCTCCACTCCGTCAAACCTGTCTGTCAGCTCAGAGAGACGCTCCTTCAGGGCGTTGAACTCCTTGTAGAGGTCTCCCAGGGCGTCGGACAGCGGCTGGATCCTGAAGGAGGGAAAAATAACTTTCATTACAAAAAGCATCTTACAATGACGATGGGAGAAGAACCTACAATGGGCATAGATGGATTACTGAATTGACCTATCGGCACAGGGCCAGGGGCCGTAAGTGTCAGGGGCCCCCTGGCCTCCAGCTACGAAATCCCAACTCAAAGAGACACAAGGAAGAGATTCAAAAAGACACCAAAAAAATCAAGGAGACAACGTGACTACAAAGAGACATAAAACAACTATAAAGAGACACACAGTAACTACAAATAGACACGTAACAACTACAAAGAGACACAAAATAACTACAAAGATACAAACAATGAGACACACAGTAACTACAAAGAGACACGTAACAACTACAAAGAGACACAAAACAACTACAAAGATACAAACAATGAGACACACAGTAAGCGGAAGCGTCCTCACCTCCCGTAGTCGGGCAGCACGGTGCTGTGGTCATGAAGGAGCAGATCTTTGACCTGCGTCATGATGGCGTATTTCCAGTTGTCTAAAACCAGCGTGAAGTTGGAGCATCCTCTGGTGTTCACTTTCTCTGCTTCAGGCGAGTCAAACAGAGCAGGATGAAATGTAATCGAGTATTCAGAGACAGAAGGTTACTCCTGCTGCAGGGCAAAACAATTAAATATATGAAGAAAACATTTACAAGAAAAACAGAAGAAACGTAGAAGAACACAAAACAGAAGGACAGAAGTAGTCAAAATAATAATAATATGAGTTACAACAAGTTACTGAATGTAAAATCTAAATCTGTTTCTGTAACACGAGTCCTCAGTTTTGGTGATTTGCAGGACAAAAGACAGACTGGGCTGAAAGTAGTTACAACATTTAGACGCATAGATTATATAATATTAATAATAATAAACCTTATTTCTTTATCCTAATTCCTGCATGAAATGCAACACATGCTTCATAGCCAATAATCATAAACGTTTACATACAAAAGTGTAAATACCATAAAATATGATTTAAAAGACAGATTAAATAAAGAAAAACTCCAAAACTAGAAATATGTCTTACAGTTGTTTAAAAGTCAACGTACAGTAACAATAATACCCGAAGTGCATGTATTTTATCTGAACACTATTTAGGACCTGCCTCACATTTAAAAACGGTTAAAACAAGCATAACCATTTAAAACATTTAAAGCACTTTCCTCCGGCTTTAAGGGGAGACAGATCTTAAACCTGAGATTAAGACGCGACATATTTCCCACTGAAATAAAGTGGAGAGGATAATAACTTTAATGTGTGAGAGATTAAACTTATTCATTACTTCACTAACCTTCATTCTTGTGATCCTCTGGTCTGTGTTTCTGAGCAGAACTCAGAGTCACCGACAAGAAGAACAGAAGTCCAGCAGTCTTCATCCTTCAACACAAAAACACGTCTGAGCATCTTTAGCTTTTAAGAAGAAACAACTGAAGAGTTTAAACTTGTCTGCGGTGATTAAACGTAGGAAACGTACCTGCAGCGGCAGCTCGGAGTCAAACAGTCCAGTGAGGATGTTTTTTCTTTGAGGGCATTTCATCTGGAGGGTCTTCAGTCTCCACCTCCATCAGACAGCATCAAATATCTGCACTTCAAACCTCAAGCCTGTTTCCTATTACATCCTTTAATTATCGTTTCAGCACCGAAGTAACGAAAGCTTTTGTGAAAATGTGTCAAAACTTTATAACCAACATTTAAGAGAACAGGAAGAGAAACAGGAACATGAACGCTGGGATCTGGAGAGGCGATCAAAGGATTTACGGCGACGACTGAACTTACACATTCCTGTTCTTCATCTGTTGTCCATCTGCAATCCTGAGGAGGCCACCGGAGGACCGGGCTGGACCGGCTCGGATCGCTCGTTAGAGACCCATCACAACAGAAACCCTGACAGGGAAACCTGGAGACTAGAAGCCCCGCTTTACTAGAAGGCTTATGGACACTCAGTCAACATTAGCTAGTTGCATATTTATCTGGAGGTATATTTGTAGGCTCATAAATAACAAGAAGTTGGAGTAAAAAAAAAAAAAAAAAAAGAAGTAAAACTTGGTTTGAGTTCATTTAAAGTCGAGATTAAACGGGAAAAAAATACTTTAAAATTATTTTAGATCAAATCTTCGGTCCTAACCGAAAGAAAATCTCATTCGTATTTTTATACAACTTTTCTTCTTGAAAAACTAAATATGTCGTGCTTATGTAAGCTTGTACCGACCAATTACAACCAAAAATATCGTGACGTCCATCCATCAAAAGCAATAAAATGAATTCTTCAAATAAAAATAATGTTTTGAATAAATTATGAACAAAAATAAACCTAAACCTTAAAGATCACTGAATGATTTTAACTAAGATTATACATTTCGGGACAGTCCACTTTGATGCTCAAGTTGCATTCTGGGACGGTTTGGGGAAGATGGTGAAAAAGTAAGTCGAGAACTACCTTTGCAAAGGTGCGCCATGTATTTTTTCACGAGCCAATCAGAGCAGACTGGGCTCTTTCTGGAGGGGCTCTTAAAGAGACAGGCGCTAAAACGAAGCGTTCCCGACAGACTGTGAATAACGGTGTAATCAGACAGACGGCATGAGAACAATAATGTGTTTTAAGAACATTACAGCATGTAAACATGTTCGAGTAGAAACAAGAAATACAACTATGGATCTAAAAATGAGCATTGGATGTCCCCTTCAAAATGTCCCGTGTTGTCCAAACTGTGAAAACTGCCCTGAAATAAAAGTGATAGAGCGTCTAAATACTTTGGTGTTATGGTTCCCACTAAACATAAAAGTGTTTTATAATCTTTCAGTTCTCATTTGTTGTTTATTAGTCTCCTAAATGTACAACAAATAAGTACTCTAAGTACGTACTTTCTGGTCTATTTGGTAGACAAATCAAACAAGATTATCTGCAATAACAACTCTTTGTTTTTTTTATTATTATTATTTTGTCTCAAATCCAGGTCAACAACGTCCAGACTCCTCAGCGAGCGTCCGGCTGTAGCTCCGATAGAATCCGATAAAACGCTCTCGAGAACTCAACACGGAGGAAAGAATCATATCACCGAGAAAAAACAAAAACAAGCAGTTTTAAATGAACCTACAACTAAAAATATATTCTCACGTCATCAATGGAATCACTGTCAAGCTCATAGATGGTTTAGATAAACGACTCCTCTTAACTGAAGAGGCCCGACGGACAGTATGTATTTAGAGTCACTCGGCTTTCCTGCCAGTTTCAACATCCTTCTAGTAAAATTAGGGTCAAATCTGTCAGCTTCAAACCCACACTGGCTCCTCATGTTATCTTTACCTTCCTACACAGCATCAGTGCGTTTGATTCTGCTCAACGGGTAAATGTCAGGAACGTGACGAGCGTCAACGTCGTGCAACCAGAGATGAAGGCCCTTGACTCTCGTTCTCCATCCACCCATCCCGATACGTCTGCTGCTGACTGAGGTACGTGTTCAATCACTGAAACTAATGAGAACAAAAACATTTCCCCTCTCACCACGAGTGGGTTCTATGGAGAACGTTCTGCCAATGAAGCACATTTCAATGTCCATTCACCTCCATCAATCTCAGACCTTATAACTGTCTGTTCAGCTAAACACAACTAGAGGGAAGTGAGAAAACGTTTGTGTTTTAATTGTAATTGTGGGTGAAATGAGTCTTTGAGTGAAGTTTGCTATTTTGAATGCCATCGAGGAGCGTTCAGTGCTCTTCACATTGTTTTAGACTCCGTGTCGGCCATCTTTTCCTCCCCATGGTGACCCTCTGGAGCAGCAGAGTCTTTGAGGGCCGAGCGATGGAGAGACCCCGAGGGGCCACATCAGCAGAGGACGAAGAGCACCGGCTGTTTCTAGAAGCACCTCGCGGCTAAAACAGTGAGTCAGTGATGATGATGTCGTTTTATCAGAGACGGAACATACAGTACAGCTGAGAACATAAGCTACATATTGGACCTGCTCGAGTTCAAACCACAAAATCCCAAAAGGCTACAATTCCAACAAACCAGCAGGAAATGTTTAGGAGTCATCACTCACCGCTGGAGGACGAGTGAGGGCTGAACAGCTGTTTGTGTTCCAGCTCCGGGACTTTAAATATAAACTTCTACGTCGGTGGAATCACTCTGCAGCTCTTCAAAGAGCTTTCAGGTCAGAGTTTGGTGATGATTGTACTTTTAGGGGCTTGTCAGAGACCAGGACCTATAAAGACCTGACCAAGTGGCAGAGTCCATGCTGAAGATTCTAAATGTAAAGCTACAACAATCTGATAAAAAACTACAGAAAAGCTGAATTAAATAACAGTATCATTCCTCAAATGTATTCATACACAGCGAGATTTATCCGTAAGACGGTGTGAGAGTGAGAGGGGCTCCGATGTGAGAGAGCCAAACACTCCAGGATTCATGTGAGGGGGGCTGATTATTCAGGTGGGGGGGGTTACCTTAACGAGCTGCGGCGCTGTGAGGAGGGATACAAAAGAAACACAGTCTGGTTTTTATCTGATTTACTTGATGAATTCGATGTAAACGAGTGCATCCTGTGGACAGACGCTCCAACGGGAGGCCGAAGAAAACAAAAACAGGGGGGGGTGGGGGGGGTCCGAATCTCGCAGCTGGTCCTGGTGCAGCGATGATGTCACTGGCGAGTTACGAGGAGGGGGCGGGGCATAAAGATCAGGGTTCTTTTCTTTTTTTTCTTTTTAACCGTGGGGCAGGCTGCACATCTCACAGAGCTCCGTGCCGGGCTGGTTCATGAAGGTGCAGTGGAGGCAGGACCACATGGCGGAGGACGAGGCCGGGACCGAGGGGCCCCCCATGGCTCCGTAACCCTGAGAGCTGGAGGGCTGCCCGCCCACGGTGCCTGGAGGGACAGGAGGGCCGGGTTACACCACTCAAACTACTGATTTAAACTTTAAATGAGCTGAATGTTTCTATATAAAATGTTCAGGTCTGGTCTGATTCAGAGTGACTTACTGCACAGCTGCTCGATGGTGGCCCACTGCTCAGACTTCTTCCAGGTCTGAGCCAGATCTTCATTAGAAGTCCTCACTGCGTCTAGTAGCAACCCGATGCTGTCCTAAAGACACAAACACAAACTCTGATCCATCCACCACACACACCACTAGCATCTGGATATTATAGAGAACATCCACATCTGATTTAGCCGTTCATAATTATCCTCTTTTGATCGTCATGTTGAAAACATCCTCACACCAGTAACCGTCTCCAGGCTGGAGAAGAACGTGGAGTTATTCTAACACAAATGGAAGCGTGGACCTACTCTCAGAGGCATGACTTCATTGGTGACGAGGAAGAGGAGCAGATGGAAGTCCGACACGATGTCCAGGAATGCCGTGGAGGTGCACTGAGACAGGTATGTAGCTAAACTGTGGAAGTCCTGCAGACAAACGAATAAGAAAACAAGTGTTTAACTTCCTCTGAGCTCATCGTAGTGAGTTTAACACGAGCTGAGGAGATCTTAGAGTTTAGTTCTCCGATATAAAACAGGTCAGTGAACGCCCCTCTGGTGAATCTTAAAGAGTGTAAATGAGACGACTAAACGTCCTCACTAGAACACTAGTCCTCCTTTAGTTCAGTGGAGGAGAAATCTATGATGTAAAAAGAACAAATTTGATTCCATTCTTTAAAGAATATTGCTTCTTTCAGGCTGAAGCAGTTTTCAAACTTCTTTGTGTTCAGGAAAAAAAATCTTTAAACACAAATAAACTATATTTGACAAGATAATGTATGAATTCATTCTTCTTTTAGGTCATTATTTAAATGTCTTCACTGGTTCAACCAGAGGTGAGGAGGTTTGAATTCTTACTTGCGTCTCTCTCAGGATATCTCGGTTCTCGATGGGGAAGCGTTGTGTGGAGCAGAAGGTGTACTGGGGGTCCTTTGGAAAAGTGGTAGTTATCTGTAGAAGAAGAAAAACATTCAGTGCGCACTCACTCACTCACTCACACTCACACTCACACTAGAAGAAAAGTAAACCCTACTCACATCTATGATGAGGTACTCCACAGGAAGAGGCCGAGCTAGAAACGTGACATCATTCCCAAACTTGTCTTTGTCCTTTTGGATGAAAGGAGGAAAAAAACAACATCGTCAAATCTGAACATCTGGAAAGAAAACATCTGGATGGACCAGACTCATAAGACCCCAACAACAAAGTAAGAGTCTGTGTATTCTCAACCACATGAACCATACTCCATTATACGTTATCATTCATATGCTCCGTGGAGGAGGGCTCACCTTGTAGAAGACGTCTGGGACGTACTGCTCCGAGCAGGACTCTTTAGCGAAGCCCAGCTCCGGAGCGTCTTTGCAGGGCAGTAAGCACTCGTCTTTCACCAAAGCCATGCACTGATTGGACACCTGGTATCCCTCAAAGTGCACCTGGTTGTCTGGACCACCTGCACGCAGAGAGAGGCAGCAGCCAACAACATTATTTAACTATTATTGTGTCGGTGTGCTGCTCGTATTTCTAGTAGCTCTTCATCGTCACACACGAGGCTCATTAGCAAAGAGACGACGTCTGCAAACAAAGGGAAAGTGAAGCTGGCAGCGGATGAGTCGCTGTGACGTCATTAAAGCTCATTAAAGCCAATGACAAGGTCACCGCTACGACCAGGCGGTCTCTTTGTGAAGGAGGGAAAGCGTAAACTCTTGGCCTCCATCCCACAGAGCATCTGGTTTGTGTTACGCTGCTTCACCGGCCTCAAAACTACTACGAACACAACGCAGATACTGAAGAGGAGTTAAAAATAAAACATGGAAACCTCACAAGTCTGTGTAGTTAAATCCAGCTTTGTATTTCAGAGAAGGTGAAGTCTCTCAGTGCTACTTGTACATGTGACTACGCTTGTTTAGTTAAGACTGTTAACAATGTACACAAATAATGAACTTTTCAAAATAAGACAGATGATCACAAGAACATAACTTCTTCATGTCTAAACTGGATCATTGTAGCTCGTATAACACGTATTTATTCACACCACATCGTAGTTTAGACGATAACTACGTATCAACAGGTATAGTTGAACTCATAGTGAACAAAAACATACCTGTCGCCACCACGGTCACAAATTTAGAGCCAAAATGGCCGTCCCGAGAGAGTCTGCAAGAGTTTGAGTGTAGATTCTGGAAGTATCCGGCTGTGATGCACTCCTCCGCACTCAGGTAGTGAGACTCCTAACAGCAGAGGGGACAATGTGTAAACGTGGGGGGGGGGGGGGGGAGCAGCTGTTACTCTGATGAACAGGTGGTCTTTAGGGGGTTCATCCTCACATGGTTCCTCACGAAGCGGACTGTTCCTATCCTCGTGTCCTCAGACAGCAGGTCAGTGAAGATCCAGCCCACCTGGAGAGACACAGAGGAACACAGAGGAACACGGATACATGAGTAGAAGCAGCTGATTGAACAGTTTGTTAATCTACAATAAATGTGATTGTTTTAAGACGTCACTTTTCAGCTGCACAGATGTGAATATTTGTCTTCTATGAAAATAAACTGAACACAGATTTGTTTCCGACTGTCGGTCAAATAAAGAATATCTCATCTCTGGCTTTGGGAAATGATTCTGGACATATATTTCACAATTTCTGACATTTTTAAATTATTAATTGTGAAGATAATAAACAGATTAATCTATAATAAAAATAACAGTTGTTTGCAGGGTTACAAAAGTTTTCAAATCATCTTAATGAAGAATAAATCACAAAGAAGACCACAGAAAGAACAGAGAGAGACAGTAACTCCTTCCTGCATGTCTCCTTTCTAACTGGTGTAGGCGCGGTCATTCCCATCAAGATAAACACACGCACCATCAACACACGCAGACATAATAATGTTTAAAAGAAAGTTAAGGTTAAATTCATTGTTTAATTCATCAAAAATTCAAAAATGCTTCATAACTCTGCCCTGAGTCTGTACAAGCTGTCAGTACTAGATGTGAAACACGGTCAGACACCACAGCGTCAAACGGGGGGGGAGGGGCCCACCTTGCACAGGCCCAGTTTGGCAGCGATTTCGTCCACAGCAGCAGCTTTAGGATCCTCCACCAGCTCCAGGCTGTTCTGAGTCGCATTCTGAAACACAGAAGAGACGTGTTACCATCACAGTAAAACAAAAGGAGCTACTACGAAGTGTAACGCTTTGAGCATGCTCAGAGGCGTTTATGCTCAACGTACTGTTGTTTTATCAGTGAACTATTTGTGAATGTCTAAATACGTTCTGCCGCAGGTTGTGATTACATCATTTTGGCTTCACTCCGTTAATTATAAACTAAGTTTAATACGGACTGTTACTTGTTGATGGAGGAGGATGGAAGAGTCAGTGATTCATTCAGAGTGGACGGCTCACCTGTGGCGGCTCGTAGATGGCGGCCACCTCGGCTCTGATGCCCAGCGGGATGTCTTTGTGCTCGGTGTAGCGGCCGTACAGGTAGCCCATCCTCTGACTGCCCGTCTTCCTCCAGAAGTCCAGAAAGCGGTCGGCGATGGTGTGGTTCTCAAACATGATGTTGTCCACGTGTCTGTATTTCTGGGAGAAGAACAGAGGAACGCTTCAGGCTCACGAGCAGAGGTTTGTTTCTTCAATCACAGAGTTGTGTCGAGTCGTTCGGTCCTCAGCTCCTCTTTGAGCATGACACCGAACGCATCGCTCCTTCATTATAGTCATTTAAATAATCCTGCTTTAGATTATTAATTGATAGTTGGTCCCGATGTTTTTAGGTCTATTATCCAACTCGGTCCTGTGTGATTTTTCATTCTTGATAATAAACTTATAATTTAAACAATGTTTTATTTAAGATGATTATCTATTTGAGTTATTTTTCGCTTCTGCAGATCATAGTACGACCCTGAGAGATGTAAAGCACGTTGGTGCCATATAAATAAATAAGGTTTATTATGACCATTATCATGATGATACCTGTCTGTTCAGTGTGAGGGCACTGGGCTGGCACTTGGTGCAGATCCCCTCCGGCCAGGGAGGGTGTCCCTCACAGCCCGACTTGATCTTACAGCTGATGTTCTCCAGAGCTGCAAACTTCCCTCTGCAGGAGACAAAGAAACAGTTAGAATGCAATGTAAATATCTGGATCTACACGGAAAACAAAGGAAGACTTCTCACTTATCAGCTCCACCGGTCAGCTTCCGAAGGTACGCGTGGAATGACATGTGCTTCACTGGAGGGTCGAGGTGATTCAGGTAGTCTTCGTCAAAAGGCTGAAATAATAAAAAGAAGAAGAAGAAGAAATAGAAGAAGCCAGTTTCAATAAGTAGAATCTGAATAAACCTGAAAAGCATCACAGCCTCAGTGTAAGAAACAAGAATACATTCCCTTACCTCTAACGGTACACAGTGCACACATTTTCCAAGGGAACCATGGTGACATCTGTAACAAGACAAACAGAATCATTAGCATCTGATATTTGTGTTTGTTTCGGATGTTTTCCTCCAGCTGCTCTCTTTCTTACAGCTGTGGATCTTTGTTTCTGTAGATCTTTCCGTCTTGCTTGGTCAGATACTGATCGATCTCATCCTCCTGGACCTGGGGCGCTGAGAAGGACCGGGGGATCATGGAGGACGAAGAAGAAGAAGAAGAAGAGAACGAAGAAGAGGATGAGACAGACGGTAGGGATGAAGAGGAGTGCGGGGTGGCAGTGTCCATGACCTCCCCAGAGGAGGAAGAGGATGCTGAAGGGACCAGATACAGCATGTCGCCATGCCTAGAGAAGATCAGAAAACAAGTAACGGGTGACATTGTGTACGGCGGCTGTTATTCCTTTAAGCAGATACATCGTCATTGATTATACTTTTAAAAAGTTAATACAGGTGTGTCTTTACAGTGACTCACAGTTATAAAATAAACTTTATTAGCACTCAACGACGCTGTCCACTCTCACTTACTTGATCTTGAGCAGGCTCATACTTTTGTTCTGGGAGAGGATCTCTTCGGTCTTGTTGCGGTTCAGGTAGACGGTAAACCCGTTGGAATTGAACCCGAACTCTTTGCCCACCTGAGAGAGAAATGATGCCGTGTGCCGATTAGACCGGATGAAAACATTCTGTCATATGGCGGAGAAATGAAAATACAGCTAACTTTCATCACCATGAAATGCATCAACGTTGAGAGAATCAAAATACACAAAGATTTAAATCAGTCTCAGCTGTTCAGCAGCTTAACGTCTCAGAAGCTTTCTCCATGTGCCAATGAAACAGGTGCATGTTCAAAGGGTTTCCACTCTTCCACCAATGACAATCACTCGCAGGCTACATCCACACTATATGTCTGAGATTTAAAATGGGTGGGCTGAAGTCCCTGTCGTGCTGGAGAGCATTTTTTGCTTTAGTTCGTCTACGGTTTCATTTTTTGCTTAAGTTCGTCTACAGTTTCTTTGTGAACTTTACAATAGCTGTGCAGAACAAAATAAGCATTGATAAGATCCATCGCCCTCCTCAAAGCCGCAAACCTTCAAATGTCCGCTTCTTAGGGCGGACAGCGCCGCTGGACGCTCTCAACAAATAGCTTGCTTCCTCCACTTGTAGGCAGTAGTAAAATTATTAAATGCAGAATTTAGAGAAGGTCAGCAACGCCTGTAATTCGCTATCCATGCTGAATTTAAGCACTGGTAGTCACTCGGTTATCAAGACTAATGTTTTTTGCTTTCTTCCGGCGGTGTGATGAATCAGGAAAGGACACGTTGTGACTGCTAAGACCAGATCAAGTAATGAATGTGGGTGTCTGTGTCATCCTTTTCAAAGATCACCGTATCTGCCCGTCCAGACTAAAACGCAACCCCGGAGTTTTCAAACTAAAACAACGTCAACAGCTTTATCAAATGTCTCAGCTTAAGTGGTTGTAGAACGGCGGAGTAGTGTGGACTCTACGCGTCAACGTAGTAAAAGTTATTCCTTAGAGCAAAAGAAACTGTTTGTAGGAAGACCTTCTGACGTCATCACTTGATGTTAACTTTCAACACGCATTAGTGAACCTTTGTAATGTTAACATAAGAGCACGATGATTATCCTGGTCATGATGACACTTAATACAGAACACTGTGCCTAAGACAGCTGCATTGATCCAGTGACATCTAACCCAACAGACAACAACAAACATCTACCACTGGTTTCTATTCATCTGTTAAAGTCAGTGTTGGTAAAACAGTCAGAGGCACTACAGGTTCTTTGAGCCTTCAGTCAGTATTTCTCTGAAGCCACACAAAAAGAAAACCACTGTAAGATATTTTTACTGTATTCTGGGTGAAAATTTAGACTGTCAGACAGGACATCATGAGTTTCATCCATTCTGTCTCAGCTGCAGAAATAAAAGCTGCAGGGCTCAGACTAACTCTCCACTGGTTTTCTATTCCCACCATCGCTGGCTGCAGGGAATGAAGACGACTCCCTACATTGATCTGCAGGCTACACCATCCTAGCTTAACACGGATGCATACATTTTTAATGAGGTGCTGCTGCAATGCTCCGCTGTGACTGGAATGCAGTTTTATTTAAGGTTTTTAAATCGAATGATTCAAATGCATTTGTAATTATTTTTGAGTGTTTATGTATGAATATAGGTGCGATGGAGCCAAAGTTAGAAAGGATTGCTCTTACAAAAATACAACAATTCAGGACCAAATTATCCGTTCTATGTGTTGATCATTCCCTGTAGTGCCTGGGTTGTAAACCACAACCTGCTACGCAGCTGTGATAACAAGTGAGTGGACCACTACGCGTGTTAATAGTGGAAGCCAGCCGACCACACGGGAGCAGTGCAGGACTGACCTGCTCTGGTACTTTCTGCACAGCTTCTCACACAATTGAACAATGATCGGCCACAACAGCCAGAGAAACACTAATATTCTTTGTGACAACAATGCATGTGTTGATGCTTGCATTACTGTAGAAATAGTCTGACTAAAGATGAGGTGTACATGTTTAGCAAACAGATTTTTATGCATAAATTGACCCAAGAATTTAGCGTTTTGAAGGAGGCCAGAGTGTTAAAAATGTGATTATGTATGAAAAAGACTGAAGACTATTATCATTAGATAGATACAGTACCTTCTTTAAAAAAGCAGCAGCTGTCTCCCTCTTGGTAGAAGCAATTTTCTTCATCCCATCTGGGGATTGTACCCTGATGACCTAAGAAAACAACAACAAAGACATAAGCTATATTCAGAATCAGAATCAGCTTTATTGGCCGTGTGTGTGTACGCATACATGGAATTTGACTCCGGTTTCCACGTTGCTCTCAACGTACATACATGGAATATACAAATAAACAAGAGAAATATAAAAACAAGGACATTAAAGACAACAAAGGACAGAGAAACTAAGCATAAACATTTAACTACCATGTACAATATAAATATATATCGAAGAATATATATGAGCATAAAGAACAACAACAATGACAATGGATTTGGGATATTAGTGCAGAATGAAGAGGTCTAAGTTACTCAGAGGTCTAAGTTACCAATTCAGACAACTGGGATCATACAAAGCTCAATTGTTAGCCAATTAAAAACTAAAATAACGTTTAAATATGACTCTTTACTGTGGTGTCAGTGGCAGAATATTATGACAATGATGACAATGCATAAAAAAAGTAATGTTGGCATTAACCTCGGAGCATCTCCTGTTAAACAAACAGCTTCTGTATTTTGACATTAAGATGTCGACTTTAAACCAGACGTTAGCTAAAGCTAAGTATCACTTTTAATGAATCAACAACATCTTGTCCTTCCTTAAATATATATATATATACACACACACACACACACACACACACACACACACTGTGGCTAACATTTAGCTAATAACCTGTGCATGCTAAACAATAATCCAGTGATTTATATTCTTGAATGTGCCGGTTATGTAGCTTTATTATTCGGATGTCGTAAGCTAAGCGAAAGAGCTAATATTAGCCGGGTTAGCTAAACAAGGCCCCACTCACACTCACTGCTAACGTTAGCTACCAAGCTAATTCTGCTGCCTCATCACTCCGGACTTCGGGCTAACAAGCTAAGCTAACGTTAGCCGAGTCGACCCCTCAGCACGGCCGTTAGTACAACATGCCGTCATACTTACAATAATATCCGCCATGTTGCCGATAGATATCGCTGCGTTAGTAGACAGAGACACTAAATATAAATTTCACGTAGCGTTGCTGTCAGTCAACGAAACTCCATCCCACAACTCAAACACCGGGTGTTGCAGACATTAGCGACCGACCGACCAACCGTTTCTCACACCGGTCCCACACCGAAACGAGCACGGCCGAAACAAGCTTGTTTTATCGTTCCACTTGTCATTGTAAATGCAGTGGGTACATGCTGTACTACAACTGCAATGGAGAGGACATATCATTATATTAACTGGAAATATGTGGCCCTGACTTATAGAGATAAATCTAGAACGTCATCATTGTAGCTTCTATTGTACTCACATGATAAATACAATTGTGTTGAATGCTATCAGAGACACAGCAGCACAGTACTGTTTGGTTCCTGGGTCTCTGGGCATATCATTCATATCATTTGTTTATGCTGTAGTGTGCACTGTAAGTCTGAAATGCTCAAATTTAGCAACACCACTACTTAATTTAGGTCTATGGAGAGATGTGATGTTCATATAGTATAAAAGTAAGAATCCCCCTTTTCCTAAAATATATATATCATATATTTTATATCAATGAGTTGCAATAATCTTAAATAGTTGTGATGTGATTGATGTTGTTTGTAATGTAATATACATAGTAACACTACTATAATGTCATGATATGGCAGAGCTGATATAAGATATTAAATAATGTTATATACAATATTATATTATGCAACCTACATTTTCTTCTGGTATTTGTGTGTTTTGTTGTTTTTTAAGTTCTTGAATATAATTAACAATAAATGTTAAATAATATTTGGCTTCTTAGAGATCACATCTCCCAAACCTACTGTTGATGAAAACCTGTATAAGAGCAACAACTATCAAACACAATATATCAAAATATACACTCATAATCTAAGGAACCATTTTTAATAATAATAAATAATAATAGATAATAAATACATCTCCACTTTCACGTTCCTGTTTTTATGCTTTATTTTTTCTCACCTCCTGTAGAGAGGACAAAGCTCCATTATGCATCAGACACTGTGCAAACATTGGAAACATAACTTATTTAAGACAATCCAGCAACTCTTCCATCAGTGACAAACATACAGCAACACCTTTGTTATTATCTTCTTCTCGACTTCAAGTCAGGATAACAAAAAATTAAAAGCGAAAAGCTAAATGTAACTCAAGCTGTGCACGCACTGATCTCATGTGAACAACAGATCGGTAATCCTTCAACGTCTCAACATGAACAGAGCGAAGCATCAGTGACGGTGACGAGGACAGCAGAGATGAAACGATGAAGAACAGATGAACGTAACACTGAATGATGGATGAAAGCTACAACATTGATCTTAAAGACACAGACATAAACACGCAGTGTCGCGTGAAAGCGTGAGAAATAAACATGAAACATATACATTAATATTAAACAGATAAGAAGGGATATGAAACAGAAGCGAACACAATGATGGGAGCAGAACAATACACACTTCTGGATGGACATGTATTCTCTTGTCAGCTGGATGTATCCTGAGGGAAAAGAGGGATATGATGATGACCACTGAAAAGCTATGCGCTGAGCGATGGCAAGCTGCTGTCCTTCTCTACAGAATTCAGGTTTTTGCATTTTACTCGTCCGGCAGGCTGCCTTGCTTGTTTCATGTTTTGTCCGTGAGAAGATAAAAAAGAAGAAAAAAGGAGATAAAAAAAGGAAGAGCAGTGAGAGAAGAGGAGAAGAGGAGTTTAGAGCAGCGGTGCAGATCCAGTGAGGATGTGAGATGCTAACTGGTTGTGAACTGTCGGGTCAGAAGAAGAATCCTGTGAAAGAGGACCGTTGCTTTTTGTAGATTTCTTTTTCTCTTTTTCCATTTTTTTGGTGTTTGTTGTGGTAAATTTGTGTGGACAAGTTCGGTTTGAAGTGTCTGGACGTGGCCCGTGAATCTCGACGGCGAAGGTGCAGGAAAGGGCTTCAGATGATGCCGTACTTGGCCAGCTCGTTCAGCTCCAGGTGGTTGAAGGCCTCCCAGGGGCAAATGACAGTGATGTCTGCAAAAAGAACAAAAAAAAGAAAGAGGTGTGAGGTTATTCAGATGCCACGCCGATCACAGAAACCCATGAGCAACCTAAAGGGAACTCACCTGTGCCTAAGCCCTCCATTCCTGGGATGTCATCACCAAACCTGAAAAGAAAAAAACCAAAACAATTACACACGACATTTCTAAACCTCTAAAGGAAGAAAACAAAGTGCATCATGGGAGACATACCCCTGGATTCCCTTCTTCGGAGGCTTGCTCTTGAACTGGCGGGTCTGCCGCTGCTTGAACTTGGGCGGTCCCTTGCGCGGGGTGGCGGGGCCTCCGGTGACCCGGGTGGCCGACTTGATCTCGGCTTTGGGCAGCTCCAGATTCATTTTTCCTAGGGTTTGGTGTCTGTGAGCAGGCTGCTGTCTTTGCCTCTCTGTAGGGCGGTCGTCGTGATGATGGCCTCTTTTATTTTGAAAAAGGAAGAAAGACTAAAGTCGGTTGAATGTTTGGATGAAGTATTGTTTTCATGGGACTGTTAGCACACAGCTGCTGTCACCTCTGTCTGACATTACAGGCCTTAATCCTCTCGCTGATCTGACACCAGGTGGGATTTACACTCATATTTCACACTGATTGAATGTCTCAGATGGACTACCTCATTCTGTGAGGATGACCCAATTTCCCATAATCCCTGGCTCAAGTTAATAAGGACCCCCCCCCCTTCTCTGTTTCAAGCTAAATGTAATCTCATTAGAGAAAGGACAACCCAGAGATCTGCTGAGCACGCTCTGAGGGTCTGAATGATCAATCCGTCCTGAACGAGGCTTAACACAGCGGCTTTATATCACAATGAAAGTGTTGGAGTGAATGTTGTTCTTCATGCTGGTTTTGTGCTATTTTCCTTCCATAACACGTCTTCTTTCAGACTAGAAATAAAACATTTATTTTATCACTTTGTCTGTTTACGTCTGTAGATTTCTCCTAAATTCAACAAAAGTTATCATTACATAAAGCCTCATTTACATATTTAAACATAACATTTCAGAACACTTGTAATACAATAAATACTGCTCTTAATGTGAGTGAAGTGGTGAAGTTTGATGGTGATATCTATGAGTTCATGTTTGTTTCACTTTCATTCCTCTCTGTGTGCTGAAGGTTCACACATAATTAATAAGAGAATGCCTCTTTTGCATATTTCAACATAACATTGTCCACACTGGTAAAACATTCCAACTTTTCATGTCCAACAGTGACGCTGCAGCCACGTATTACATCTTATAATCTGTAATTCTTCCATCAGACACATTTTTTATAAAGCTATACTTCTTATGATATTTGAGAATCTTATCTTCTCTTGAATGAAAAAAGTGTGTTGTACAAGTCAACAAGACCCTTTGTCCTCTCAATCATTCTGTTACTTCTCCATCTTTTCCATCTCTAAAGTATGAAGATTGTAAAGTCTATAAATCTCCACTGACCATCAGCTCTCTGATTTTGTTCCCTCTGACCCTCAATAAGTGTGTGTTGGTGTTGGTGATGTGTGGCGGAGCGTCTACTCACCGGCTGCTCTGGAGCAGGACGGCCGGACGAGTCGCTGTGAGCGCAGCAGATGTGAGGAGCTCTACGCTGGGCTCGCTGTGAGGGCCAGCCGGGGCTCAGGGCCCCTCTTATATACGCTGAGCCTGCACCAGATTACGGACACGCCCGCCTCCCGGCTTCTCATGTCAACAGGCCTCATGTCTGGGGGTTTGAGTCCAACAGAGGGGAGAGTGTGCAGATGTGCACAGTCACCTGATGTGCACGGTCATTGGAGAATCATTTAAAGTCAGTTTTCTGGATGAAGATCTGTGACATTATCCAGTTTGCGAGACACATCCTGCATCATTTAATGTCTTAAAAGCTGTGGTGCTCTCACATGAGATGACACAGCCTGGAGTATTTAGGCCTTTATTATACACTCAGAGACAGACAGGAAGGAGAGAGAGAGACAGAGTGAGAGAGAGAGCAAGAGAGTGAGAGCGAGAGAGAGGACGACCGCCATCAGGTGAGCGATGCTGATGTAGATTAGGAAGCTTTCCTGAAAGGCCTCGTAGCTCGTTCCTCCTCTTGTTATGCAATCGTTTCACCGTCTGCTTCAGGAGAAACCCTTCACCCCCCATCATGCAACAGTCTCTCTGATCGCCTTGATGTACGTTTCAGTGTACATGAAGGTGATGTAGTTACTAAACACGTGGCTACATACATACATACATACAGCTAATCTTTTTGTTAGTTGATGCAATTGCATGTATTCAAGATCGTTTCATTCCAGTTTTCTTCTGATATAATGAAATATGTTTTAAACGTATATGATGTAGTTTGTGATGTGATGAGGCTCCTTGTACACTATTGATGAGAATATTGATCATTTCTTTATTTTACAGGCAAAAGATGAAATGCTATTTAAATCTATGAATGAATTTATTGCCTTGAAGGTAGACTGCCAATGAAAGAACGAGAGAAGAATGAATGAAATCAGTGATGCAAACATGTCACGAGTTGAACTGACTGAGTCTGCTATTGATTCGATGCACAGCTGCACATTGCAGCGTTGGCATGTTTTCCATCTCGTCAGAGTCTCTGGGTTCAGAGTTTCTGATCATCTGTGATCCTCAGATCAAAGAATAACGGAGTGAGTGTGTGTGTGTGTGTGTGTGTGTGTGTGTGTGCGCACCGGCTCCTGCATAATACAGGATTCACAGAACATCTCCATCACCAGACCAGAGATCAGGGTCCCCGTCACCTCACAAAGTGGACCTGTGAGATCCGCGAGACGTACCGGCATCGGGCCTCGTTCTGCTCAGCCGACCGACGGACGTCATTCTAACGGGGCAGATGTGAACCAGATCAGCTTCAGGGTCCATCAGGGTCTCACTTCTGGTCTGCAGGACTCCTCCTACATTCATCAGAATCTCATTCATTCACATCCCTGATACAAGATTAAAAAAAGACACCATCACTCTGCAGATTCCTCATATAATCCAAGGAGCGTCGCCATATCTCTCAAATGTTTTGCTCTTATTCCTCCACCAAGAAGTTATATTCTCTAAAGGTGCAACTATTCATTTCTCTGGAGACACATTCCAGTTGAGAGACATCTGATTTCCATTTGGCCACGCGGTCAGACAGACATGTTTATAGCAGAGGACAGATCTCTGTGAGCTTTATCACGTGGTTGTTTTTAATAAAGTTACCTAATAAACAACAGAGTCACCGGCATAAACACTGATTATATTTCATCCTCATGAGAGCAGGCAGACAGGCAGGCAGACAGACAGGCAGACAGACAGGCAGGCAGACAGGCAGGCAGGCAGACAGACAGACAGGCAGGCAGACAGACAGGCAGGCAGGCAGGCAGACAGGCAGACAGACAGGCAGGCAGACAGACAGGCAGGCAGGCAGGCAGACAGGCAGGCAGGCAGACAGGCAGACAGGCAGACAGACAGACAGGCAGGCAGACAGACAGGCAGGCAGGCAGGCAGACAGACAGACAGGCAGGCAGACAGACAGACAGGCAGGCAGGCAGGCAGACAGGCAGACAGGCAGACAGACAGACAGGCAGGCAGGCAGACAGACAGACAGACAGGCAGGCAGACAGGCAGGCAGACAGGCAGGCAGGCAAGCAGACAGGCAGACAGGCAGACAGGCAGGCAGGCAGGCAGACAGGCAGGCAGGCAGGCAGCTGTCTCTCTCTGATGAAGTGATGTTAAAGGAAATCTGTTCATCTCAGAAACATTTATTTAACAAACAACTCATATAAATACATTTCAAATACATAATCAAAATATACTCTTAAATATAATGAGATCGCAAAAACACAAATATGTTTTTAACACTTCAGTTCAAACTTCTGATAAATAAAACAAATGTACAAAATGTGCTTTATGACTAAAGTACCACGAAGATAAACCAAAAAAAGTTAAAATAAACCAAATGGATTTTCTAACAAGGCCCCAAAAACATAACTAATGTTATTAAAAACACAACTAATGTTAATAAAAACATGCACTTTAAAATGCCACGTCAAGCACCTCATGAAATAAAGAACAGACTTCTGTGAGGAACAGTTCCCGTCAGTAACAACACTCACTACCAACTGCTGACATCAGGGAGCCAGACGTCAAACAGGAGAGGTGGGACTATCAGACAGAAACAGATCTCCAGTTATTCAAACTTATTGAGGAGAAACAGTCACATGGAAACATTTTTACAAAGACTGAAAGTCAGTTTCGAGAAACGTTCTGATTCAACTTTGACCTCTCTAATCTCAGCGTTACTGCTCGATGACGGATTATTTTCATCCTTTCAGGAGAGACGTGAACAGTGTGAGCCACCGGAGGAGGGAGTGAAGATGAGGAGGTAAAAGCAGTGACTGAAGTGTGTCATAAAGTGCTTAAACTGGTACTACGAACGCTCACAACACTCAGCCGACGCTGTGGTCGAAGTCGCTGGCAGTAAAAGATTCCGTCACGTCTTCTTTAAGAGTCTTATCTCCATCTTCAGGTAGGTTTTAAGGTTCTCATCCAGGACATTCTCCTCGATGGCGGCGAGCGCCTGGTCCCCTCCGTCGTGGTAGTACGCCAGCAGCTGCTCTGCATGTTCGATCCACACACAGTTGTGGCAGCCGCTCATGCAGCAGTGGGTGGGAGCCGGCGGCGGACCATCCTCAGGAGACCAAGCGGAGGTGGTGCGGCCGGGTTCTGGGTCAGAGCAGTCAGAGGACTCCGTCAGCGTTGGAGGAGCAGAGGAACCTGGTCCAGGAGAACCCGGTCCAGCAGAGAGGCTGCGTCGGCCTCTCCTCCACGTCGGCACCGGGCAGAGATAGGACCGATGTCTCGTGTGCAGCAGGGAGAGGATGCACAGCTGAAAGACAGCACGATGAGATATGATCATAATGAAACTCTGTAAACACTCCATGCAGTCATGTATTCCCTGTTTGTATTCTCCTCTTCTAACCGGTTTATTTAAGTATTTAAATATTTGATTGGTGGCAGTTAGAGAGGACAGCGAACCTGCAGCTTGTGCTCTGAGCACATGTCAATAAAGTTGAATCTTGAATCTAAAGTTCACGTATTTATAGGTGTAAGAAGACATTGATGAGAGAGACAGAGCTGTGGTGTCATGGTTGAATCTGTTTGTAAGTTTTAGCAAAAAGCTCTGAAGTAGAAGAGGAAACGTAAACATGTCTTATATTTCAGTTTCACTTGCAGCCATTACTATTATCATCTCACATATAAGTCTGTATATTTAATCAAATAACGTCACTGTATACTGTTAATATTACCCAACAGTGTGACCAAAGGAAAGGTTAGGAACGTTAGCTTCTCTACCGTTAGCTTAGCTACCAACCTTCTGTAAAGACAACGACGACCTCGCCACATTTACACCCAAACACAGCATCGTCGCAGTAAACACGAGGCTCGGTTACGCGTCTGTGTGATTCATTTTCTCAGAACTGTAGATTTTATGAAGTTGTTTTCCTCCTGGACGTTAAAATCCACCGCAGCAAGCTAGCAAATCGTCCCGGACGATGACCTTTGTGTGTGGTTATAAACAAACACGTTGATTGGCCGACTGGAAATAATGTGACCAATCAAATAACACTATTCTGAACGTAAACCAATAGAAAGCGCAGAATATTTTCGGGGGGCGGTTCCCAGAAGACGAGCTGCATTACCAGTCTATGTCCAGCAGGTGTCGGTGTTTCACCTGTATGTCCTGCGTGATCTCACAATAAAGATCATCATACAAATATCACATCACGCTATAACTGATACTAACGCCATATAAATAAAATGTATCGATGTATATCTTGAATTATACTATAATACATATTATTGACGCTTTAATCAATGATATATTATCTGATAAGTGAGTGTGTGTGACTTTGGTTCATGTTTATTTTGTATTGTTGCAGCTGAGAGGACTGAATGTGCCTCGTCAGGACCATGACATCAGCTAAATGTATAATTCAGCCAAACAGACACAACATATGATCATATGCCTATGTTACACATTTCACCAATGACTTTCCTTGACACAGGTTTTTATGGCAATGTCATAACAATAAAGACATTTTAATTGTTTTCTTGTGATATTTCTGTGTTCATGTGTCCATATGCAAAGAGCCCCTCAAACAAACTCTATTTGAGACCAGGAAGCTGCCCTACCCAAACATTTGTTTTTTTAAAATCAAATCTTTATTGTCCTGCAGCAGCCAATCACGCTGCGAAAGCAAGAGGTAAAGCACACAGTCATCAGATGATACCTCGGATTATCACGTTTAAATGTAAAAACTCAGAGAGCAACAACATTCATATTAGAAATTACAATTGACTGTACTGTAACTGCATAAATCTGTTTATTTGAAAGTAATATATATATATTAAAATCATTCTGTAAATGTCCTTTAACTGTCTTACGTACTTAGTTCAGGATTTAAAACACAACCTTCAGGACTTGAGACTTTCTTGTAACTTAGTAGAGGAAGTGATATGTTTCCCACACACCTGTATTGAAGCTGAGATCACGTTAATGAAAGCAGAAACCATTATTAGAGGCTCAGTAGATGTTTGTTTGCCCTGAGGTATTTCCACGCCTCTACATTTAGATGTATTGTGTCTCTCTGCTCAGAAAGAGCATTAAAACCACCGGGAAGCAGATTTGTTCCGTGAAACGACTCCTTTCATGCTCATGACTGAAAGTAAACCCTCTTTTGATGTCGTTTTTGTTCTTTGTGTTTTCAACGGTTCTGTACCGTAACCTGCCGGTTCCTTCACTATTTGACCCATTCACTGATGCGCGAGGAGATGTGTGTGTGTGTGTGTGTGTGTGTGTGTGTGTGTGTGGAAGAGAAGCAGTCTGAGCGCCCCACAGGCCTCAGTGTTTGCAGGCCACATCCATGGTAACGCGGTGTGGAAACACGGCAGCTGCTCGGCCTGGCATGAGATACCAGGTGTGTGGTGGGGCATGTTATCTCACCAGAGGCTCACAATGCGACTTCGCCCCAAGGAGAGGTTTCTCCCTCAGTCGTAGAAACGCAGACCTTTGTTACGCCGCATAAAGCAAACGGCCATTAAAAGGCTGCTGATGTTGTTGTGAAAGGACAGATGGATCTCTGGTAATCTCTAATAAAAAGAAGCTGAGTACACAGACTGTGTGAACAAAGACTTCAATGATTGAGCTCGGTCTCATGATAATGCATTAATCGGTATCATAATAGAGGTTTGTGTTGTCATGAGGCGAGTCTGATGGACAGAATAGATTGAACTCTATTCATAGGACGAAGTCATAATGAGGATATTAAAAGTGTTTACAGAGTCAGATCAGCTGAGTGAGAAAGTCAGAGCGCAGACAGAGTGGTACAACCAAAAGAATAGACCTTTGATAAAGGTTTCAGCTGGAACCCTTTCAGAAGGTTCTACTTAGAACCCAACATAAAGACCGTCCGTAAAGAGGTCAAAATGAAACACCAACGTTTGGTTTTACCGAGACCATCAGAGAGAAGATGGTCTGTTTCTTTAGAGTTATTCTTGATGCTCGTCATCGGAGCCACCGGGTCGGATTCTGGTGAAACCAGATGAAATCATGCAGGTTCACCAGAAACTCCTTCAGCTCAGACTCCAGCAGAGACCGGTCCACCGTGGACAGACCCAGATCCTCCAGCAGAGACCGGTCCATCGTAGACAGACCCAGATCCTCCAGCAGAGACCGGTCCATCGTAGACAGACCCAGATCCTCCAGCAGAGACCGGTCCACCGTGGACACACCCAGATCCTCCAGCTGAGACCGGTCCACCGTGGACAGACCCAGATCCTCCAGCAGAGACCGGTCCATCGTAGACACACCCAGATCCTCCAGCTGAGACCGGTCCGCCGTGGACAGACCCAGATCCTCCAGCAGAGACCGGTCCACCGTGGACAGATCCAGATCCAGCTTCACCCGCAGCCTCAGACCTGCAGTTGGAGCTCCGGAGGGAGGAGGAGAGCTCAGTGCCCTGCAGACCCAGGACGTATTGCTGGACCCGGTGGAGGGAAGGGAGGCACGGGAGAACCAGAACCAGGACTGAGAGGGGCAGACTGTCAGACCCTGGTGCAGTAAAATGAGAGGTTTTCTAAAGGGACTCTGGTGCTCAGAAACACTACCACTTTAGTCCACAGGGACCACCAGAATAAACACAAAATTAACGTTGCTTGTAGCAGCTTTAAGTATCTGAATACTTCCTCTACCACTGACTGTGTGTACTCTGTGTACAGTGATATTCAGGTACAACATTATGACATAACACGAGCAAAAAGAGGCTGCATCCGCGCACGATGAGATTGGATATAGGTCATGGTTCAGATGATCCAGCAGTGAGCTTGTTGGTTTCAGCTTGTGTAGGTCAGCTCAGAAGAATCTCTTTAAGTATGTCGGGTATGTGAGCACTGAGGAAGCTGAGGAAGCACCCCCCCCCCCCATAGCCCCGCTGCAGGATTAGGTTTCTCTCAACACCTTTTCCTTGGAAACCCTGGAGCCCTGCTTCACCTCCGGCAGGCGTTTCCTGAGGGCCCCTTTTTGCAGATTGAGGGTAAAACAGATTAAGTCGGGCACATGACCAACACTCGAGGGAGGGAGACTGTTTGTGATTCAGTTTCATACTTTTGTAACTTTTCACATGACCCGGCGGTTCCCAAAGTGTGGCCTGAGGACTCCCGTGGGTTCTGAGGGAAATCCTGGAGGGTCAACATTATTCCTCTCCATGGAAGTTGACACAAAGATAAGATTGTACGTATAAATAGCTCTTATCGTATACTCTGTGAAGTTATTTAGCGTTGCATGACGTCTTGAACAGGTCAGTCCAACACTTTGGTCCACAATGAAACATCTAAACTACTGGAGGGACTGTCATGAAATGTGACACAGATATATTTATGGTGATCCGCTGACTTTTTATTGAGCAGCTATTACGTTAACATTCGTGGTTTTGAGTGAAATATTCTAAACAGTTCCCTGAATTCTAATTCACAAATGTTTTGAGGGATCAGCTCTGCTCTGGCTGCAGGCGTTCTGCATGAAGAGGGATTAACTCGATCGCTGATAATCCCGTTCAGTATTTCTAACAACTTGCTGCCATGATGGATTAGTGAACGCGCCGACCGGGCTCAGGTCCAGGGGCCCAAAGTGTCAGGAGCCCCCCTGACTGTCATCTATAAAATGTCACTCAAATAGACATTCAGGACCAGGAAGAGACTACAGAGAGACCAAAACAAAAAGAGATGAACACAGGAGCAAAGAGACACAAAATGACTCACAGCAGCTTTAAAAAGGGACAAAACAACCACGAAGGGACTCAAAGAGACAACAAAGAGACAGAAAACAAACACAAAAAGAGAATTTTAGAAATGCTTCAATGTAAAACAACACAGGTGTGTAAGTCAAGTTATCTGAGCTCCTGTAACGTTCCTCTGATACAGCTGTGGTGCTTGAAGCCTGAAGAAGTGTTTTCTAGCTGCAGCTGTGTCAACAGTCTGAGCAAACAGCTCCTCTAATCCTTTAAACTGGGAAAAGTGGCAACAAGGTTTTTTCTGTTTCACTGAAAACTCTTTATGTGCTGAAATTCACCCAATCAGCATCTTTTCCACTTGTGTATCTGCAAGAAGGAAGAGCTCAACATGTGACAGGCTGCGTTAAAGAAACAGAGCATCAGGGAGGTGTGTTGTGTCCTTCATCAAGGTCTTCCTCTCGGACTCACAGCAGCAGCTTTGTCCTGAAGCTACAAAGACCTCCCTGTTCTCTGACCCCGAGTGACGCGTCCACAACACACCTGAAACAGTTACTACAGGTCAGGAGTCAGCAGAAACGTGTTTGTGTATCCGTCAGGAGGCTGAAACAGGAAGAGTGTAAGAAAACAAAGAACAAGTAGAAGCATTGTTGCTCAGAAAGTAACATATGTCGTTAACGTTTGTAACATTTCTGCAGTGATCTTTTTTCACAGTGGGTCTTTCTCCGCTCGCATCTCCCATGGGCGGGACTAAGAAGCGAGGACACGAGGGGACAAGGAAAGAGGAGGCACAAAATGAGAAAGAGGAAAAGAGGAGCGGAGAGGAGAGAGGAGTCGAGGCAACAGGCATTTAACAAATGAGACATCCTCACCTCGGAGTGACATTTTAAAGCGGTGTCTATTAAATATGACGTGTGGCCCCGCTGAACAGCTGTCCATTGTTTAGTTATACCCCATTTTATGATTTATAATATATATATATATATCCAGCTGTGGTTTGAGATCATTACAGCTGCACGTCACACCTTTTTATTTGTTTACGTGTGCAGAAAACACTTCCATAGAGGATACACCGGTGTTTCCTCGCTCACAGCTCCTCCAGCCTGCCTCCTCGACTCCTCGCTCCTCCAGATGCATTTGAGGAATTGGGATGTTCTTCAACAAGAAATCGATTTCTGGGTCACAAGCCGGAGGAGCGAGGAGCGAGGAAATCAAAGAGGCACAAAATCATCGTGTGTGTCGTGTGCTCAGGGTCTCAGAAGATGTTAA